ATCCCAGAGTTGAGGGACATCGAAGAAAAGCTGGATCAGCACAGACCAGCAACGCTCGCTGTTGAAGAGGTTTTGGAAGCCTTCGCCGAGAGAATCTGCCATGAAAACTCTGGTGTTACCCTTCAAGCGTTGACAGAATTGATACCATACCTTCAGGAAAACCAAGCGGCACTTCATACATCTGAGATTAGTCTACAGTCAGATATTGGCGTTGTCACACTTATGCGGTCGCTTCTGGATTGTGCAAGTAAATACAGCGGCTTTCCGGGAGACATAGCGCGCCTATGCACAGAAGCAATGGGCTTGATAGGCTGCCTGGACCCCAGTAAGATCGAGACTGTTAGAGAACAACGATCAATAGTCATATTGAACAATTTTGCGACGAATGAAGAAACTACGGACTTCGTTCTGTTTCTTCTGGAAGAGGCCCTGGTACCAGCATTCTTATCTACGACTGATGTCAAGTTCCAGGGATTCTTGTCTTTTGCTATGCAGGAACTCATGGGTAGGTGCGACATCAAAGCTGCATGTGCCATGGAAAACTCGGGGATGAAAGGTGGAAACGATATCTATCGTAAATGGGTTGCAATGCCGGAAACTGTTCGGGAAGTGGTGGCACCCTTTCTAGCCTCCCGGTATGTCGTTGCTCCAATGCCACACACCGAGATCGAGTATCCGCTCTTTCGTCCTGGCAGACCTTATCCGAGTTGGCTTAGGGTTTACGTTCTGGACCTTCTACGTAAGGGGCAGACGCCATTTGCCGATTTGATATTCGAGCCTCTGGCGCGTGTCATTCGGGTTAAAGATCTCTCTATTGCAGAATTCATCCTTCCCTATATAGTCCTGCATACTCTTTTGGGGTCTCGGACTACACAACAAGAAAGGGACGATATTCTCGGGGAACTTCTTGCTATCCTGAAATATCAGCCTGCTGAGACGGCATCATATCAGGAGAAGGAGGATATGCGGCGATACTGTCATGTAGGTTTCAAAACGCCTTACTCTTGTGACGAGAACTAACTTGTTATTAGCTTGTATTTCGCGCTGTAGACTATGCAATGAGATGGATGCAAACTCGGCGAGCAGCTGGTCGCCTCACTGAAACTGACAGGGAGAGACTAGCTCAAGTGCAGGAGGCTCTCGATCTGATCCCAGCCGAACTCATAGCACAAAGAGCTGTCGATTGTAATGAATACGCACGTGCTCTTTTTCATTTGGAGCAACATGCCCACAAAATGGAACAGAGGAAGAAAGAGCCAGGGGAACGCGCCCGTCTCTTACAAAAGCTTCAGGATATTTATGCCAATGTCGATGAGCCTGATGGCCTTGATGGAATTTCAGCTCATTTACAAGTTCTTGACATCAACCAACAGATTCTGAGTCATCGCAAAGCAGGCAGGTGGACTGCTGTTCAGAACTGGTACGAGATGCAACTCGCTGAGAACCCTGACAACACGGATATCCAGATCGACTTGCTTCATTGCCTGAAGCAGGCTGGTCAGCACGGTAGGTTATTTCATTCTTTTGTCCCGACACGAGCTAATTCTTGACAGAGGGATTGTTGAATCACATCGAGGGTATGCACACAGATGCATCAACGGACAACAAGATCATGCCTTATGCAGTAGAGGCGGCATGGGTTACAGGAAGGTGGGAGAGCCTTACCAAATTTATTCAACGGTTTCGCGGCGACCCTATTGAAGACTTCAACATCTCGATTGCGACTCTTTTCGAAAAGCTGAGGGCCAAAGACAAGCCTAAAGAGCTCATTAAGATAATGAAGGATATAAGAGTCAAAATTTCATCATCGATGAACGCCGCATCCACCTCATCGCTACAGGCCTGTCATGACCTCCTTCTTAAGTCACATGTTCTTACGGATGTGGAAATCATAATAGGAACAAAAGCGGGTGACGAAGTCGCCCGCCAAACGACAGCAGCCCTCCTAGAAAGGAGACTTGAAATTATAGGTGCTTATATGAACGACAAGCAATATCTTCTTGGTATTCGCCGTGCCACCATGGAGTTGACTAGGTAAGATACATCGTACAAGAGCTATCGACGGCCCATATACTTACCAACACAGACCTACATTCACTGACCTAGACATTTCTGGGCTATGGCTCTCGAGTGCACGCCTTGCACGGAAGTCGAACTCGCTTCACCAGTCTTTTAACGCTATCCTTCACGCTTCGAAGCTGGGCGATGATGCGGCTACCATTGAGAATGCTAAGCTTCTTTGGAGAGAAAATCAGCACCGAAAGGCAATACAGGTTCTGCAGGGAGCAATTAAGAGCAACAAGTTCATGACACAAACAGGGACAGCAACCAGCACAAGTTCAAGCAAGTTGAGCCCACAGCAGAAGCTCTTGACAGCTAGGGCGCAGCTGCTACTTGCCAAATGGCTTGATAGCGCCGGGCAGACGCACGCCGGTGCATTGCGTGAAAAGTATCAGCAGCCACCCAAGACCTTCTCGACTTGGGAAAAGGGGCATTATTATCTTGGCCGTCATTACAAGAAGATCCTTGAAGCTGAAAAGCCGCTCAAAGCTGATGACCAGAGCGATAACTACATCACCGGTGAAGTCGCTAGACTCGTCATCGAGAACTATGTCCGTTCACTGAACTCGGGCACCAAATATCTTTACCAGACTCTTCCACGAATTTTGACTCTCTGGCTTGACCTTGGTGCCCAAGTAGACAAAGCACCAGAAGGGAAAGCATCACTTTCTCGCGAGCTTCACCGAAGACGCGTTGAGCAACTCAATCTTTTGCACTCTTTTCTTGACAAATACATCCATAGGCTGCCGGCGTACATCTTTTATACAGCTTTGCCACAGATTGTTGCACGCATCGCCCACCCCAACTCGAACGTTTTTGACCGGCTGACGCACATCATTGCCAAGGTCGTGGAAGCTCATCCTCGCCAAGCCCTTTGGAGCCTTATTGGCATCATGACCACAAGACAAGTGTCGGAACGAAAGGCACGGGGCACTCAGATCCTTCAGACACTCCGGAACATATCGAAGAAAGTTGAGGGCTCTACGACCGATTTCAAACACCTGCTCAGGATGGGAGAGAAATTAGCCGAACAGCTGCTTCTTGCATGCCAAAACGGAGACTTCCGGGGCAACAAGACTGTTCATGCCAGCCTGGGTAAAGATCTTCGATTCAATCATAAATGTACTCCATGTCCGTTGGTCGTGCCTGTCGAGAGCTCTTTGACGGCAACGTTACCGGCTGTATCAGAGTATGTTAAAAAGCACAAGGCATTTTCTAGAGATGTTGTCACGATTGACTCCTTTCTTGATGATGTGCTCGTCCTGAGCTCGCTGGCTAAGCCAAGACGGCTGACAACACGAGGGAGTGATGGGAAAAGCTACATGCTTCTGATCAAACCCAAGGACGACTTGCGAACTGACCAGCGTCTTATGGAATTCAATGGATTGATCAATCGGTCGTTGAAACGAGATGCGGAATCCAGCCGGAGACAGCTTTACATTCGAACGTATGCTGTCACGCCACTCAATGAAGAGTGCGGCATCATTGAATGGGTTCCAGGAATCAAAACTATGCGAGACATTCTCATCAACCTTTATGCTTCCCGGAAGATTTACCCCGACTACACCGTTCTTAAGCAACTCATGGATGAAGCATGTTTATCAGACGGCAAAACCAGGATATTTACTGATGAGGTCCTGGGGAGATTTCCTCCGGTACTTCAGCTCTGGTTCACGCAACAGTTCCCTAGCCCGTCAGCCTGGTTTGCTGCGCGATTGAAATACACACGGTCTTGTGCTGTCATGTCCATGGTAGGCACCATCCTAGGCCTCGGCGATAGACATGGCGAGAACGTAAATTTGGAGGAGGGCAATGGTGGAGTATTTCATGTCGATTTCAATTGTCTCTTTGACAAGGGCCTGACATTTGCCAAACCTGAAAGAGTGCCGTTCCGACTTACCCACAACATGGTGGCTGCGATGGGTATATATGGTTACGAAGGGCCATTTCGCAAGTCTTGCGAGCTGACTCTGGGCATTCTTCGTCAGCAAGAGGAAACTCTGATGACAATTCTAGAGGCGTTCATCTACGATCCAACGTTGGATCTACAAAAAGAAAAACGGGCACATCGGCGAGGAGATGTGGGCGTCAAGCTGCAGCCTCAAAGCGTTGTAGACAGTATCAAACGCAAAGTCAGGGGATTACTTCCGACTGAAAGCATTCCTCTGGGCGTTGAAGGCCAGGTGGAGGAATTGATCAAACAAGCGGTTGACCCAAGAAATTTGGCTGCAATGTATATAGGCTGGTGTCCGTTCCTGTAACCTAGAACAAAGAGAGAAATACGTGAAGCAGCTTGTAACTGGTGAAAAGAGGAAGAAAAGCTTAGAATTAGTTCGCGCCTATAACAATCGACAGTCATTCACAAGATGAGAAAGAAAAATCTCAGGTCATTCTCTATTTGCTACCAAATCCCTTTATTTCATTTCATTTCCTTTCTTTGCCTTTTTTAGCAGCGTTCGTAACTGCCTTATTGGTTGTAACCTTCCACAGGTAAGGTATCGTTTCAGGCGGAAATCCGGGGAGGAAGGAGCCATGTCACCACTCCTGCATACCCGCTGGGGACGCGTTGGTCGCGCGCACCGCACCCTACCATGAGGTACCTGCCTACTTACCTTACCATACTACCGTACATCCCCAACGCTGAGCTGGCAGCACTTCCCACCTTCATTCACTCATCTCACCTTATCACGCTTTTTCTGCTTTGATTTAATTCACAGAGCACCAGAAGCTCGCGTATATAATCTCTCGTCCTATTTCCGAAAAAGAGATTTATTCTTCTTGCATCAGTCTTTCCAACAGCCATTTTCTTTTCCCCACTTCCGTGCCAACGCGCAACAAGCTATCCAAAGCCAAAGCATCGTTTGCATTCTTCATCTCTCTCATTCTACCACCCTATTCGAAACTCGAACTTTTGTACCATACCTTCTACTGCCGCCAAGATGGGTGAATATCGTATCGGTGAGGCCCTTAAATATCCCCATTCCTTATGATCGCGTTACGCTGCAGCCTCTCTGTTGTCTGCTCTGTTGAGCAGTTCGCTCACATTGTATTAGAGTTATCCCCCAACAACCGCGCCACGTGCAAGGACACTGAGTGCAAGAAGAACGGTGACAAAGTCACCAAAGGTACCCTGCGGTTTGGTTCCTATGTCATCATCAAGGAGCATGGAAGCTGGTCATGGAAACATTGGTAAGTATCTGCAGTTCATCAGCCATACTGATAGTAGATCGCTGATACCAAGGTACCAGGGGATGTGTCTCTGGTCAACAGCTAGAGAATGTCCGTGAACTGTGCCAGCAAGGCGATGGCTCCTTCGATTGTGACCTCATCGATGGTTACGATGAGCTTGAGTGAGTTTTGGCATCCTGTTTCTATTCATATTATTCTGACATTGATAGCGGACACCCTGACGTGCAAGAGAAGGTCCGCCGCTGTATTAACCAGGGCTTCATTGACCCTGAAGATTTCAAAGGGGTATGTATAAAGATATTCACCACAGGTTACAGTGATTGACATCGTTCAGGACCCAGAGAAGAACAAGCTTGGTGAGAAGGGTATTCACTTGACTGCAGCACAGAAGAAGAACAAGGCTGCCGCTGAGGCTGTGAGTCCTGAGCGTGAATACACACTGTTGATGATTCTAACACTGTTCAGGCCGCCACAGGCGATGGAGAGAAGGCCAAGCCCAAAGGCAAGCGTGGACGCAAGAAGGCCGCTGATGATGAAGAGGATCAGGACGAGCCGCAGCCCAAGAAAGCTCGAACATCCAAGGCGGATGAGGAGAAGCCCGCTGCTAAGCCGGCCCGTGGCCGCAAAGCCGCCGAGGTCAAGGATGAGAGTGAGGATGAGAATGCTATATCTGCTCCTGCTCCTGCTCCTGCCAAGGGAGGACACAGAACTTCGGCTCAGAAGCCAAAGGATGAATCTGATGCTGAGGAGAAACCGGTTCCTGTCAAAAAGGGACGAAAGGCAACCCCTAAGAAGGTCAAGAACGAAAGCGATGATGAAGTGCCCGCTCGTGCTCCTGCCCCTGCCAAGAGAGGACGCAGAACTTCAGCTCAGAAGCCAAAGGACGAATCTGATGCTGAGGAGAAACCTGCTTCTGTCAAACGGGGACGAAAGGCTGCTACCAAGAAGGCGGCTACTCCTGAGGAGGAAGACGTTGCGGCTGAGGAAGAGGAACAAGAGAAGGCCGCGCCGAGGACCAGAGCTCGCCGCGGGCGTTCCAGCAAAGCTTGATTGACGCTTTCATTTCCGACACCGGGTACAGCATGAGTACCTAAACTGTGTAGATTGCACAGAAGCTTGTGATGTTTTCATTTGCCGTCATTGTTGAGATTTTGGGATCGGGTCACTGAAGGATGGGTAACACTTTGTTGAAAAGTCTTTGCGATTACCAGTGGGTAAGGATCATTTCGTGGAATTAAATGATTTAGCTATGCATACACGATGACCAGGGCAAGCAATGATTGAGTCGTTCTATCAGTGAGGGTCCGTGACGTGTGCGGCTCTGACAAAGATGTGGTCCTAATGCCCAAGTAGATTCTGTTAAACCAATCATGGACCTTGAACTCAACAGAATCAGTGGCTGAAGTCAGCAGACATGTATAAGCTACCAGTAGTGCATTTAGTAGATTGCAACTCCGCCAACTTCATATTCACATCCAACTAAAATGGCGACTGTGGATGGGCCATGATGCTGCCCAGGTGCCAGGCTTCTTTGACCAAGATCCACAATGGTAACAGTTGACTGTGTGGGCTGTCCAGCGGATGGATAGTCTCATGCAGGTCCCATCAAGGAGCATTTGCTCAGCTGCCGTCAGAATAAGACATGGGCTGGCTAGGCTGGCTTGTGTTTGTTCCCCACACACAGCGTGTTGCAGCTGCGGAGAGCGAGGGGCATAGGGGCATAAAAGTATCCATTGCATCCATCGGGATGACGTTACTCGGAATGACGTCGTCGATGCATCACACATCACGATGCTGAATCACTGTCGACTACAGCGGGGTCCCAGCACGATGGGATATAAATAAAGTTCTCTGCACTCAACAGAGATTCGGCTTCTTCATCCTCAAGCATCAACAACAGTCAACCTCCAAGACACCTCAAACACTCCAAACACTCCATCACAAAGACATATCACAATGCCTCGCAACGGAGACGGTTCTTCTGACAATGGCCCTTTTGAGGCTGCCGACCACGACATCGCCCACGGCGTTGGCAAGCCCGACGTAAGTTCGTTCATTCATCCATCCAAGTCATCACATCTTTGACTTTGTTTGTTTGTTTGGCTGACTAACCTCCTCACTCCAGTCTGACCGCGTCGACCGCGCTGACAAGACCGCCGACCTCCCCGAGGGCAAGGACGAGCATGGCCAGGGTCTCCAGGACGCACCTGCCAGCGGAGGCCAGAGCCAGGGCATCAAGCAGGGCAAGGACGTTGGACAGGGCAACTAGAAGCAAAGATCTTGACATCTGAGAGGGAATGAGAGAACAGAGGATGAAAGATACCTACCTAACCTAATGACTGCATGGGAAAGTGAGTCAAGAATGACCACAACGCATTGAATATTAAAAAAAAATGAACCACAACCAGTGTGTCCGAGTTCCATGCTATTGATGCTGTGATTGACGTGGGCAGATACGAGAACTGGCTAAGTCTGTAAGTCGTCCCCCCGCGCAATGGTGCTCTCCAGATACAAACTAAGGCTGGTCTAGGATGAAAGCTCATGACCAAAGGTCAGTGTGGTCAATTGGTAGCAATGCGGGCCTTGCAAGGTCTTCGCGAGTGTGAACAAACTTGACAATTACACATCAACAACTCCAATGGGTCGATCGTCCAAGTTTTTGTCGCCAGCCAGGGCCGTTCGGGATCATAGCAATGCTCTCGGCCAATTGAGTTTCAGGCGTACTCCCAGAAAAGCCTAACCCAACATTGATCTGCAAGACATCGAGATCTGAGAGATACTTAGCGGGGAACTTTGTTTCGACCACAGTCACACCATATATTCTACAAAAACAGACCAGCCTGCAACAACAAATCACGAGTGGATCTTCAGATTCACATCATCGGTCTGGTGGTCTAGTGGTATGATTCTCGCTTAGGGAAAACCCTACAGCAAAGCTTGCGAGAGGTCCCGGGTTCAATCCCCGGCCAGACCCTTAACTTTTGGTGTTTTGTCCCTGGTGGATTTTGCTTTTATGTAGTAGCCATGTGCGTCGTTGTTGCTGCTGATACAATGGCCGTCTTCTTTTCGATACAGTAGTTCTTGAGAACAAGGCACAGTGTTTTGGGCTTTGTATTCAAGTCTCTGCTTATGCTTTGATATCAGTCAACCAACCTTAACCAAATCATAACCTTGTGCAGCCCTCTTTTGAAGACTATTAATGCTTCAGGTGCAGGTTACATGTGGGATACTAACCTACCTTACCTATTTTGAATCTGTCGTGTGATAGATTGCCTATAAAATGGTGGTGAAGGTGACCGTTCGTTCCCTTTACGGATTAGAGTGGCTGCTCACTGTGTGATTCGTTGAGCTTAAATCAGCCTTATTTCATAATCCCAGTGCAGGGAAACGATGCCGTGTGGTAGACTACGGGAATAAAGGGATATATCAGATAATCCAAGAGAAGGTTTTGTGCATTGACTTCCATATAGCCCAAACTCAGTCTACCTCTTGTCCTCACGACACAAGTAACAACAGTCCATAATAGTCACCACCTCACCGTCTTGATTCATGACCACTCCTCATTACTATCAGTCTCCTCAGTGGGATCGTCGCGTTAACGTGTATCTCTTTTTTCTTTTACTCCCATCCCCCTTGTTCTTCTCTTTCTTCTTGTCTTCTTTGTTGTTGTTTCTCGTGTATCTCTTCGACATGCCATGTGTTGAGGATGAGGTCTTACTGTTGCCAACGAGTTCAGGCATGAGTCGTATCCAATCTTGAATTCTTCTCTCGGCATCATTCTTGTATCGCTGCTCTTTCGCGCTATAGTAGAGCATATCCTCGACCGACGAGACCTCCTGTTTGCCATACAAGACGCGCTGTTCTCTCATATAACTGTGGTAGGTGTTGGGTTGATAGTGAGCATCGAAAGGGCCAGGCGGTCTTTGTCCTCCCCCGTGGCTATGTGAGTGTGTACCGTCAGGCTATATACACGATCAGTAAGTGCTCTCAAGGTATCGAATACTTAACTTTTAACTTACATCACCGGCATTATCCTGGGGTTTGCAGAAATATCCAACTGGCTGCGCGTTGAGCCTCGGAGCTGGCTGGCAATCACAGTCGCAGGTACAACATGGGCCGCTTGGATCACAATTCCAATCAGACAATGATCTCGAGCTTGTAGTCTCCCAATAGATATCAGGTCGGTTCAAAGTACGGCGAGTTCTGAATGCTTGTTCTGAGTAGTTTTCGTAAAACTGGTTTTGTGTTGTGCTAATAAGATATGGCATTCTGACCCAACCGTCGATGTCTGCAACTCCCTGGGCCATGTTGAGACGGATGGTGTCTTCAGTACCGTAGAGCATGTAGCGGAAGAGATAGAGCGAGAAAAGGAAGCTAACGTAATAAAAGCATTTACAGAAATGATTTAAATTTGACATCATGCTCTAAGTACATATCCTCTATACTTCTAGCACAATATTACGAACAAGCACATATGCTGTACAATGATAAACATCCTTCTTAGATCAAAGAGCCTTGCCAAAACCCCTTGTTGGCATAAAATCACATAACAAGCACTACGGTAGACTGCCAGAAACTTGCTGCGCTTGGTGTAGCTACCCTTATGTGTTTCAATAAAGCTTCCTGATCTCTAAACAAAGAAGCAAAATGCTTATCCGTCGCTGATACTTTCTGTACAACAATGCCCCATGCCCTCAAGTGAAAGGAAAACGATAGCCAGCCCGAATATGTACCAAACGCCTGAGATACTGCGCCGTAAAATGCTGCATGTGGAAGGTGATACAACGATATTTGTTTGTTGCTTGACAAGTCGACCTAACGCAACTTCAAGTCAACTTACAGTAGTTTGAAGCCTTTTAGTGTTTGCTTGATTGGAAATTCCCGACATGGTTTGACTCCCTGGTGCGCTCGTTGAAATTTATGATGTACTGGAGTTGGGTGCCCCTTCGCGGAGATTTCTCCGTAACTCAGCAAGGTCATCCATGCCCTCAAGACTTCCTTTGCGGCCCCAGTTCTTGGGCTTCCTTTTGAGGAATGCGCCAACTGCTCCGAGATAACCCTCATGACGGAGGAAGTAAGCCTGCTTCTCCCCCTTACTCCAGAACTTGATGGCATAGCTTAGTGTGTTAATGGTCTGACGATGGCCTCTGATGAAAGAACCACCGAAATAAATATTGGATAGATTGTGAATTTGGGACTGCAGGTAGGCGATCTGTCCAATATTGTTTGAGATGGCGTAAAGTAGAGATCGCGAAACGTCTGCGCTGTTGAAGGATGCGTCTTCCGGCGTAGCAGATCTGCCATCTTCGGCTGCAGATTCAGCCTCTCTCTTCATACGAAAGACTTTACCAAAGGACGAAGCAATTGTTGTGCTCTTGAGTCCTATCTTGCCATAGTCTGTTCCATAGATGTCGCCAACTAGCATATCGACGTTGGCGTTGTCACCGTGAGCGGCTTGTTCAAGCATCTCGTCAAAAGTTCGCGCGCCGGTGAGCAGAGACAAAAGACCCCAGAGAGTACCACCACCAAGCGATGTACCTCCGACTCGCTGATATGATCGCGGCCCAGTAACTTTCAGGAACGAGACACCTGAGCCGATATTTACAAGCAGATAAGGATATATATTATCCTGCGGCACGACGAAGTGCATGGGATCTGTTTCGGAGTAGGTAAAGACCTCACGTGGAATCTCGGTTATAAAGAAGTCGAGTCCTGGAAAGTTTGTCAGCTAAAACGTCCTTGATAGCGAACAGAACCGCTCACCAATGATGAGACATTCCATCTCATCCTCCTGTGACACATCCACTTCGAGTGCGGCTCGAATTTTGTCATAATACTTGTACGCGCCACCACCAGTCGCCATTACGCATAACTCTCCCGGTTGTGAGCCATTGACAAGTTGGTTATCACGCAGATGCCGCATGAACTCCACACAGTCATCAATGCGATCTGTTTCGAAGCTTTGAAAGTTCAGTCGGCCGCCGGGATCCGTAGAATCAACTTCGCGAGAGAAGTAAACCAGCTTTATAAGCGATCCGCCAATCTGCAATGACACTCACCGCGTCAGCCATCGCTTCCCTTCTTGTGACTCAGAACGGATATACGTACGTCAATCGCAATATGGCTCACAATCGCAGTGTGGTATGGCAACCGGATGTCGCTCGTTTCGGGGTGTGTCGGGCTCGTTCGGCCGTTATGAGATGTAGCACCGCCCGCGCTTGCGCCAGAGGTAGAGGCTGGCGTCGCCGTATCGGGGTCGACGATGAAAGCGCCTTTGACATTAATTCTGACACTGCCAGGGCGGATAATGGTGCTGTCTATTTCATCGGTCGACGTCATGGTGCGGCGGCGCTTCTGGTCCAAAGGATGCGCCGGGGCTTGGAGTTCTTGCGCAATCGCATCTTCGTGTTCCGAAGCGGGAGTCATTGTGTGGTTATGTCTCTCGGGCCACGCTCGATTGACTTTCGAGAGGATGGAGGGGGTTGATTAGGCAGTGGAGATGGTTCGAGTTGAAGCGCTGGGTAGCAGATTGACAATACCCACGAAGAGTTATTGCATAGCCTGGTTTATGATGAAATATAGGGGACGGCAGCGGACTTGAACGTATATTTGAAATATGAAATGGGGAGAACAAAAGGAGGTCAGAGCTACCTTAACATATAAGAAATCGCTATGGAGGGGCTCTAATAATCGGATGGGGAGACTTGGATATTACAATGGGGTTGAGCCTTTATCGATAGCGGTCGTTCATCATTCTAGTTCTTCAAAAGCCGGTGGGCCGAGGCTCCGGATTGCCTGGGGAAAGCTCCCCAGAAAATACGGATACAGGGTGTCAAAATGTACGTATTCGCTCAACAAAGATACATGCGAAATTGGCTCCTTTCCTCCGATTTCTGGCCAATTGTACTCTGTTGAGAAGATCTACAACTGTAGGACATCGCATTGGCCTCTTATGCGCATTCTTATTCGGAGATTTTCTTTTCTGCTTACGGTGAGACGCAATGCAAGTGTTCTTATGCCCGCATTATAAAGCACGAGGTTGATTTTGACAGTCCCGATGGCCCGGCTACGGAGGGGTCATGACTTGATGCCGAGCTTGGCTACTTAAATTGCCGTCGGCTTTAGTCAACGGGATGGAGCGGCATTCATCATCAAGGACGCAGTCTACACATCTGTTATCAACTATGGTGTCATTTACAAGCAATATCGATCCTGTTTTAGACCAAATTGCCCGCCCCTCGTAACGCCAACATCCACAAACAAAAGCAG